GCAGCTTTGCTGTTCCATTAGAAGGGTTTGTGTGATGACTGTACCAAGTGTTACTCTCTGAAGGGAAGGATGATGCAAATACACTGCAAGAGAGATGAGCAAAGAGTGTTCTTCTAAATTACCTGCGCATTTGTGACTCATCTAGTACAAATACAGTATAAAATTGCAGAGCTGACTGGACACTTCCATCAGGTTTTTAAATGTTGTGTGAGATGGAACATGTTTTATGACATAAAACCCAAATTCTGCTTTTGTTTTGCTTCTTCTGTATGTTTTCTAAAATGGACATGCCACTTTTGCTGTATAATCTTATCATATTTAGATTTGATTTAAATCCTGTCTTTTCTCAGCTGTGCTTGCTAATGGAATCATTCATGCTTTTTATACAGTTGATCTAATAATATTTTCCTCACTGCTCTCTGGCATTATTTTTTACTTTGTAGGAAGCATGGCAAAACTGGCAATATAAATTGAGTCTGCATTTTAATGACATTGATGGTGATTTTTTCATGTATTTGGATAAGGTGGGGTTTTTTCCTCTCTTTGTACCATGGTCATTCCAATATACTGGGCATGTGAATGACTGATTGATTTGCAGGATTCTCTAATAAGGAAGAAGTCTTTTCCAATACTACTTTGCTGTTTAAGCTGCTTGCCATCAATAGAATGTCCATGAGATATCTTCATTCTTCTGTTTTATAAGCAATGTACTCCAGTGACCTATGAACTTCTCTGTCGGAAGTCCCTGATCCCTCTTCAATACAACTAAAATGGTGTCTCCCACTGGAAAGCACTAGGAAATGGTAAATCAGTGACTTTCAGCACCTTCTGATAGGAAGATTTCTCAGATTTCAAATGAGGCTTGGTGAACAAACACTTCTCATTTAGTGACAGCATATTTTTTTCTGGATACACTTAGAAAGAGAGCAAATTATGAAATTATGGACTGTAGCAATGACTGTCTCCTCTACATTTTATACCTGCACAACCCCCACGATGACTTTAGTGATGGTGGGGGAAGAGGCACAAGTGTGGCCCTTCAGAGTGAGTTTTCTTATTTTAGAGAGGGTCCAAGATGCCAAGTGCTACCTCAGGAGAGCAAAGCCCTTTACAGAGGCAGCAGATGCAGTTCAGCATTGCTCATTCTGTTGTGCTTCAACTCTGACCATGGAAGCGCGAACTCTTGGGACAGAAAGTGCTCTGTTTACACTCAGACGTTGGCATTTTTCCTAAGGGTACCAATTATAATGGTGTTTTTTGTGATATGGGCACACATCCATTATGAATTGGCTTGCACCCACCAACTCATTTTGTACAGGCCATGGAACATCCATCAGATGGCAACAATTCCCATTCGTGTGCAATGTTAAGGAAATCTAGATCATTACCAGCAGAATAATGAATTCCCTAGAATTGTTCCATTGTGCAATTATATGAAGTATGCTAAGAGAAAGGGCAGTTTCTCAATAAAGTACTCCTTTTTATTTTCCTAAACCACAGGAATGATAGATTATTAATCATGATTAATGCTCAGTTACAGTGAATTATAGTGGAGCAGTGCCTGGAAATCCCAGTCTGCTTGGTAAACTCATTTTCTTGCATAATAGGAAACTTACCTTGCATTTAAGAGAACCCAAACAGATGAAAGCAATGGAACCACCCTTTTCATATAATTAAAAGAAAAATTTAATAGATACATACATTCTTAGTCTGACACTCTTGAACTTTTTTTGATACTGTGCAAGCATCATTTGAGAAATACAATTGCAAACATCTTAATTGTTCCCATATTTTGCTTTCTTCCTGAGAACCAAAGTCTCCTAGAGCTCAGCTGTAGCACTCAGCCTGAATCCTTAAGCAGCACTGGAGTTAAGGCAGAGTTGTGAATTTTCTGGACATTTGGAAGATGTTTGTTGTTCTAGTTGATGATTTCTTGAGAGAATATGAATGATCAAAGTACTTTAGGAAGCAGAGGAAAGTCAAATGAGGTAATAGAATATATTTCATCCCTATAGTTGGGAATGTACATGGGATAATTTTTGCCAGCCCCACATCTAAGGGACTCATTGTACATGGAGAGTAAGGCACCATAACAACATTATGGAAGTGCTCATGGTCAGTCAGAGAACTTAATATCCTTCGAGATAACTGAACTTTAAATTTTTGGAAGCCCCCAGAGGCTTTTCCAGTATTTATCAAACATCAATTCCCCTACAGTTTACATCCTAATCCGTATTGTGTTCTGAGAACAGAGTGAAAGGAGGTGAAAAGACATTTTTGTCTCAAGGATGAGACTGCTGGGTCATTTCCAAGAGGAGATCCTTAGAGAGCATCCCGTGGTCCTTTCCTGTGGAAGGTAGCAGTGCAGCTCTCTGCTATTCTCTCTGTCTCTCTCTTCCCCCAGGCAATCTGTCAGTGCATTTCTGGTGCTGGGGAGAGGCGTCGTGCCGGAGCGCTGTTCCCGATTGCAAAACGGGAACTTCTATTTGTTGTTCTCAGGAGCTGGTTCCACGCTCTGACATCTCCCCGGGAGCACAGCTGAGTCCAACATGTTCCCAGCAGCCATCCACCCAAACGCCTCCCACTCCAGCACCCAGACCTTCCTTCCCAGTAAATAAAAAACACGGAGCCAGCCTCGAATTGTTCCAAGTGCTTCGGCTTCGCTGGAATGTCTGCCCATGTTCAGATCTGATAAATGGGTGTTTTTCTGCACCAGAAGTCAGTTTAGTGTGGGAATAGGATGGCTTTTCAAGGAGTTTCTGGAATAGTTAATGGGAAAGTCTGACTGACTTTCTTTGGTGTCAATATGTTTAAGTGTTCCTACGTGTCATGAAAGTACAAAGTTGCAATTAACAACTTTAAGACAGAAAACAAAGTTATCATAAGCTGCTGATTCTACTGTGTTGTATGAAATAACATGTTTTTCAAGGTTTCATTGCTCAAAAAGGTCTCAAAAAATCGACTTCCTTAAAGCAGGAAACTGAGCAGTGTGCCCATGTACACTTCAGGCAAGGAGATATTGCTGCATTATTTAAAACACCACCAACAGCAGCTCTCAATATATCCCAGAGTGATTCCTTTCTTGTTTCTGGGACATCCTGTCTAATCATGGCTATAGTAATTCTGCCTTTGACCTTACCTGTGCTCTGTAGTAGCCATGACATCAGTATGCCAACCTATGGATTACAACACAAAAAAAGAATCTTTTGAATAATGATTCCTAGGAAAAAAGTTGGAAAAAATTCCACATTTGTGCCAAAAGCCCCCAGTCCAGTTCCACAGCTGAATGAGACTTCACTTGCCATGAGTTATACTGGCAAGGTCAATGTGTTTTTTCTTTCAGACTCAGAACTGGAACAAGACATCCTGGCTTGAAAGGGAAAGTCCTCATCTCTGATTCCCTCACTGACAACATTTCGGGGTATGCCACCCTCTGGTTTCTCCTCTTGTGCTCCGTCCAGCCATTGCACATGAAATCTCCCATTTTGGAGACTGGCATCAAGAGCAAGGACTGCCAAGGTACATCTTTATTAGTGCTTCTCTAGGAACTGGTATGTGGAACAAGCTTCCCTCTTTTCTGAATCCGAAATGCCTTGGGTCAGAGTTCTTATTCATAAATACCCACATGCCAGTTTCTACCACAACCTGTGGTAGAAAGGACAGAATGATCCAAGCCTCTGTGGCCTGGTATGTAGAAGTGAGAGTTTAGCTTAGCTTTGGAAGATTTAAGATCAGAATTCCGTGTGAGAAGGCAAATTGAAGCATTAAAACTCAGCATTGCCCATCCTGGGGTGGGTGACCCAAACCAGTGCCTCCTGGATGGCAGTGGGTTGTGCTGTGGGGTTTGGGTCCTTTACATCACTATAGCTCACAATGGGACAATGTAAGATAAGGAAATCTCTTCTATTCCCCACCAATGTCCTGGAAGAAGCAGAGAAGTGAGGTGTTCTGGGCTGCTTGCTGCATTGCTGAGGTTTGTTGTCTTCTGGTCACCAGGCTTTGTAAGACACCTGGAAAACTAGTGGTTCTACTTCTGGATTTCTGATTTTTTTGAAAGCATGAGTTTTACAGAAGGGGGATAAGGAAAGGACATACACATGATTTTTCCCCCCCATTAAATGTTTGTGCACCAGGACTCTGATTAATAAACAAGTGGCTTCAATTATTTTAGAAATGTTTAATATCCCAGTATCTTGTCCAGGATCCTCATTTGGGATTCCACAGGCACTTCTGCACTGAGACCAGTGGGGTTTTTGGGGAAAATTTTAGTGCTTATACAAAGCAAGCACTGACTTTGGTGTTAGTCTATAAATACCTAATGTGAGCAAGTAATTCTGTATTTTCCTCTGTACTTAATACCTGTGTTCTGCACCCTCAGGCTGCTGAATTAACATGTTTTTGTTGTCATATGTATAATGTGCAACATGTATTTCCTTTTTATTAATCAGACCTGCCACCAGAAAAGAGATAGAGGGAATTTGAAAGCACAGGATAGATACTGTCATTTTGTAATCTTTTGTGCACAGGTGGAGATGTCTGTTTGCACTAGAATAGGTGGCAATATTCTGTTTCTTGCAAAAGTCTTACAAATGGAAATCAAGGAAAGGAGCTACTGACTATCTATGGGGGTAATTCTTCTCTGAAAGTGTGCAGTCAATTCTCATTTAGGCTAATTATACTTAAGAAACCCTTTTCTATAACTAATGAACAATAGGCATAACCTGTTATTACATAACCATGGACCAGCACATTAATACACTGTCCAATTGCAGTACCCTGTGAAAATGCTTCCTCAATGAAATTCACTGGAGATTTTCAGTGACATTTGCTGTAATTACCAGTAGCATGGTTTCTAATTCATTAATTTTTTTTTTCTACCTATACTGGGCATATAAGAGTGTTTTAAGAGATTGAATAAATAAATTTTTAATTATAAAATGATGCTGTATCATAAATTATTTATAATAACCAACAATATGTAATACATGTTTAGGTATGAATCCATTACGAAGATGAACTAATATATATATCAGTCCTAAAATAACATCCTAATTTGTTCTGTCTTTATGAATGGCAAAATTGGTGTTTAAAGCAATTAAAGGTTCATAAAAGCTTGGATTTACAGTGGGTAAAGCAGCGAGCACACTTGGCACTTAGGAATTCTGTTGTCATCTATGGCAGAGAAGACCCCTTTTTGTCCTTTATTGGTTTCAGCAGTTTGTGATATCATGCCAACATAGAGACCTCCAGGGAGGGAGCAACAAGATGCACATAGTCCTCAATGACAAAACCTCCGGTTGTGATTAATTTAAAAAAAAAAAAAAAAATCTCCTTTGTAATCTGTCGGGTAGTTTTGATGAATTTTGTCAGTTATTTTCCTATCAGCGATAGCAGACTTCAGAGATCTCCATGGCCAGCTCCAGGCACTCGCCGGTCTCGTGGCAGGACTCGAAGAGGCTGCAATCAATGTCACAGTCACAGTTGCAGTCGTTGCTGCCGTGGTCTTCGTCGGAGGTCTGGTAATATCTATTGGATGGACAACAGGTATCTGTCAGCCAATGTTCACAGGTATCAGGCAGCATTATAAGAAAGTCCCAAAACTGGCAGAACAAGCAGGCCAGGATAAGTGTTGCGCATTCATCTAAGAGAGAGGAAAAGCAGGGAGATGTAAGAACACACGTGAGCTGGGATTGCCCAGGTTTAGGCCAGAAGTGAGGGGGTGGGCTAAAAATACATTGATGTTAACTAGTTCCATGGAGACAAGTGAAAAGTTTATTTTCTATTTTAATTGCTCTGTAAAAACAGCAGCTGTATGAAAAGAATTTGAATTGAAACATTATGTGGTAGTGAAATGCAGAAGAACAAGGCCTTTAAACCAAATTTTATCTTCTCATGCCCATACAGCAAGGAGACTGAAGAGGCACGAGAAGCTGGGAGTGGACACAGCCAGGATAGCCGACCCCAGCTGGCTAGAAGGATAGTTCAGACCATATGGCATCAATCTAAATTAGGCAGAAAACAAGCAGGAGTTTCTGCTCAGATAACTGACTGGGCATCTATTGGTGAGCAATTGCAATATGTATACCTTGTTTTGTATATTCTAATTTTTTATTTATATATAATATATATATATATTTTTCTTCCTCCCATGTAAAACCACTACATTGTCCTATTACACTGTATTTATCTCAACCCATGAGTTTTCTTGCTTTTACCCTTCTGTTAGCCCCATTCTGCAGTGGGGCAGTGAGTGAGGGGTTCTGTGGGGCTGAGGAAACCATGACACCAGCACAGGTGACACTGGAGTTCATTTTCATTTTCACAAGAGTTTGCACTAAAAATGTTTAAAGACTACCAAGGACAGGGAGGGAGAGCAGGTCTGGAGAAAAGCATTCAGAGAGGGCAGTGTGTCTCAGCTCATGGTCCTCCCAACTCCCCACCAAACAAGGTTCTCATCTTTTCATTCACAAATGTCAGTTTTTCAAAGGAGACAAAAGTTTGGAAAATAGATTATGTAGGATGTGTGTCTGGGGCCAGTGAATATTCCTGAAAACGTGGTCACCATGACTAAAACTCTGTGCTATGTTTGTGCCCTCCCAAAATCAACTAATTAACTCCTCACCCCTGAGCCTCCAGCATCTGGGGAGGCTGCTTGGGTGCAGCAGGTGTGAGATTCCAATTGTGTGAATCCACTTGGAGCACAGACCCAAACCTTTCCTTTTTTTTTTTTTTTTGTTCCTTCTTGTTTTTGGAAAGGAAAAATGCCTTCAACAATATGAATGTCTTTTCATTGCTTCTTTCAGGAAAGCATATGGTTATAACCACATTTCTTGCCCTAGGATGACTAACTGTGAACTCATTCTACTGCATTGGTTCTGTTGTGGCATTTTCTAGCTCACGTAACATGAAGTTCACTGCCAGGAAGTTTCCAGAATTATGCTTTTTTTTTTAAGAAAGCTTTCTTGATGAAATAACAAAATTTAAAAAAAAAATCATTCCAGCTTCTTTATTAAAAAGGCAAGGTAGCAAGAATAAATAGCATATGATTGAACTTCTTTCTAAATGGCATATCATCACCAATGTTATCAATTTTAATGCCTATTTAAATATGTCAAGATCTATTTAGGTTCAGACAAGCACAACTAACTTCTAAGTCAGTCCTGTCAAATAAGAATGACTAGATTTTGGTGATACTCAGTAAGTTCATGCTTATATTTTTTCCTAGCTAAATGAACTGAAATAATTATAAAATTGAAACAGTTAATAAGGTGACACTACTGTATTTAATTGTATGAAATTTACACTGTAAAAAATGTAATCATTTTATCCAGTAGTTCTTGGTGTAATTAAGACTATTCTTTTTAGTTCTCTTATGTTTATGAAATTTCTTTCCTATACATAGATGTGAGAGACAGAATTCAAAGTTATGTCTCAATTAAGGATTTGGCAATTTTTTTCTCCATCTCCAAAGATCCATTTTTTAATAACAGTTTTTTTTCCCCTGAATATGTTAACCATAATGGTGCTTATGTAATCTGGAGAGAATAGATAGGATTCTTAGGGCTTCATCCAGGAAAGAGAGCACACAAAAAGCACAAGATTTTAATAATAAAGTAATGTTTCAGCACAGACTCTGTGATGTGCAGTAAAGATGCTTTTAAATTCCCATCAGAGCACACACCATGAACTGTGATAATGGATGTAACACATTTCAAAAAATCTGCATGTGTGAGGCTTTTTGGCCCTGTTTTAAGTGGGGTAATGTATATAAATAATAGATATTAGCAATTAGACATCCATTCCTATGCATTCATTTATATATTTGAAAATAAATTAGCCACAAACTGCATAAAGGAAGATGCAATCTCTTGTTTTCCCCTCTGTTTTCCCTGCTGTTTGCCAAACGGCTGTACTGCGTTTATCTCAGTGAGAACAATGACCTCAGCTCTCCTTCTCTACATTACTAGATTAATTAGCACAAAAGAAGAATTTATAATAATTTTTCTAGCATGCCTCATCTCTAAGTTTTCCTGCTCTAGTTTGGTGGCATCTGTTCACACAGATGATGCTCTGAACAACCCTGGTCCAAAGATTGCTGAAGCCTTTCTGGTCATCCTTGGTGAGACCTATGAGTGTTGTATTTGCTCTTATCTGAACCCTGGGAACAAAATAATCACCAATTTCCTCATCTATTGCTCTGCCTTCAGAGGTTCTCTGAGCAAACAGGATTTGGCCTTGTGTATGTGGAATAAGCAGTAACTTGTCAGAGTGGAGTGAGCTGAGTATGCAATGACAACCACAAATCTGTCTTCCTTTGGTTTTCTTGGCTTCTATCCAGCCCTTAACATTATTAATTAAGCACAGATTGGGTTTTTTTGTTGTTGTTGTTAATTTCCTTCACATTTAGCTTTTTTAAGGAGAATGAAATCTGTTATTTGCATCATATGGTACACACCTGTGTGCCAGAAGTGGCTGAGAGAGACCTCAAGCTCAAAAATAGGAAGTGTCAGGACAAAAGGACAAGTTCCCTAAATAAAATAAATACTTCAGATCCTTCTCTGAAATTAAGCATATTCCAATAGATGTATCATAGACATCCCTTTTTAAGGATCTGTGACACAATAGAGATGTTAATGATTCTTGGAGAACAGGGCACTTTATTGTGTTGGTCTCTATTTAGAAATGCTTAATTTAGGAATTGTCAAATGATATGCACGACAGATCCCAGCTCCATTGGATATAACACACTAATCCATTATTGCAAAAGGCACTCAAAAGAAACTTCTGAAATATTTCACAGACCCTTTTTTTAACATCCACTGGAATAACCAGGAATAGATTTATCTGATACTGACACTGGTGCCTCTGTGCAAACTCTCATTGCTAAAGTACAAATGCTCTGTGGCACAATAAGCTCTAAGCTCGTCTTCTATGACTTTAGTATCACTGACAATTTAAGATCATCTTCTAGAAATTCTCATCTATCACACAAATGTCTGCAGGGCAACTTAACATTGCTTTTGGCGATGTTCTTGAACCTCCTGTTCAACATTTAATTTCGAGTTGGTTATACATAGTTCTTTTGCAGTGGGCATTATTTAGAAATCAGCTCAAATGTGATCTGTTTTATAAAACATACCGTCACTGTCTCTCTGATGTACTGATGCATCATCTTCAATGTAAGAGAATTCTCTGCATTTATCCAGGGAAGCAATGGAGGATCTGCTTGCATCTGACAATTTCTTCTCATTTTTGGTACCCTTTGATGAAGCGTCTGTGATGCTGAATTCTGCGACAGAACTCATAACAATACCTTTCATAGGCTTTTCATCTGTGTGTTTTTCATTTGTAAGCTGGTTATCTGGTGGGATTAGGAAAAAAAAGACTGTGATACCAAGGCAGAGATCTGAGAGAATAACATATGCAGAATTTTCAAACCTACAGTTGTTTACATCCAAGGCCTAACCCTTCTCACCTAATGATTCCAGTCTCTTTAAAGAGGTTTATTCATAGCAAAGGTATTTGTGAACTTGCCTTCTAAGGTTTTCTCTTAAACTCAGAGGACTTAGAGGCTAAGTAATAATTCATTTCCAGTGGGTGGGATCAGGTTTGGAAAGAAAACAGAACTATTGCCTAAGTTGACATCTATTTAGACTTTGATATCCTAACTTCAATTTCTGACATAAAAGAAGGCAAAATAATTATCTTGTTATTTTTCAGCTGCAACTTCATTTCCCTAAATTAACAACCAACAATGTGCACGTGGGCAGTACCTGGATGCAGATGTGCCAGCTCACCGTGGCTCATAATCCTGTCGCAAAGACAGCCAGATGGTCTCTGTTTAGCATCCAGATTCCTTATTTCATAACTTCATCCCCACTTGCATTGTTGGCCTGGAAGTCAACTAGGAGATGGGATACTTCACATGCTGTCAGTGTGCCAGAGAGGCAGCTCAAAAACCAGAGGGAGAGCTTAAAATTAAGCCCCAACTAGGGGAAAGGTTAAGAAGAGTTCTGAGTTCAATTTATTCCTGAAGAACTCCTCAGGCACAGATAAACATGGGTTGATATATAGTTTCACTCGATCTCTGAAGTGATCAAGTGGCCAAGAAACACAGTCATTCTCTCCATGGCGGGGATGATAAAACCTCATCAGTTCTTATCTACAGCTGATTAACTCTTGCACCTCACATCAAGCACAGCCTCACTTTTTATCTCACTTAAATCTTGTGATATGCTTGCTCTTGATCTATATACAGAAAATCAATCTTTACAAACACCTCAGTTTTGCAAATGCTGCTTTCTGAGAGGAACAGTAAGTGCTCTGAAGTGGCTCAACTGCACTTGCCTGCAAGGAGTCTGAAGAGAGGCCCTGCATATCTCTTGGTTTTCATGTACCTTTGACTTCTGACCCATGTTAAAGAAAAGCCAAGGAACAGCTGACAGAGAATGAAACCTTGATGAGACTGCAGCTGTTCCCCCAGAATCCTTGCAGAGAGAGGAGGAAATGTGGATGGGATGGATGGATTGCAGGTAAGTGAAAAAACAGTGCAACCATGAAGCTTGAAGAGGGGGGAAGCAAGGATTTGAGAGATAAGTAGAGTTGTTTCGTGTGTCCAAAAGACGCAAGCCCAACCTGTTAGCCAGGTGCCAATATCACAAATGGGGCCTGTTTGTTCACACTGAGAGCTACACCCAGCCTTAGCCTTTGGATACACACAGACCAAATCAAAAGGCTTAGGCAAGGATAACTATTATTTTCCACTTTCAAAATCTGCTCAAAAATGTAAAATAGATATGTTTTAATTCATGATATATTTGTTGAGTTTCCCAATTCTGCAACAATACAATGGCCCACAGAATGCATTTAAGCATTCAAGAAGCGAGACTGAAAAAAAAGTCTGACAGAAGTAATCAGTAAATGCCAGACTGACATTTACTGTATCCACCGACTTCTACTATTCATACTTGGAGTCAATTTTTATTCTTGAAGTGCTGTTGAAGAGAAATCAAAACCAGAAATAGAAAGGCATAGACATAACCTGAATTTTTCAATACAGCACCATCAAACAAAAGGGTAACAAAAGCTGTCACTCAGGGACTCTTCTGTTTGTTAAAGCATACTACATCTTGGAAAATACAGTACATTTTAGTGTCAGACTCTTAGTTTGAAAAGCTCCCTTTCAGTAATGTTATACTTGTCTTGTACAGCTAGATCAAGTCTTCACGCAATCACTGTAACAAGCAACTTGCTATGACAAGCGAGATCCTTGCTTCCAGAAAACACTGCAGGAGAGGCTAAAGCAGTGTACAATTATAGGTCTCCATTTCATTTTTATGCAATTACCTTCAGTTCAGCTGTGGGTCCATCTACATTATGTCTTTTATCAATTTAATGTTTGCACAAAGTGTCTGAAGAAATAAAGATTGTGCTAGACCAGCAGAAAAAAAAAGGTGGTTAGCACTTTTTTTTTTCCCTATTATAGTTTGTTGGTGGATGGAACAGTAGTAGGTTGAGAGTTTGGAACAAATAGATGTAGCCAAATAGGCTTTAAAAATATATTACATACACTCATAGTATTTATGATTACTGTTAAATGAGAATATAAAAAAATCCCAAATTACAATTAGAAATGGGAAGAGGGTCAAACTTTGCAACTCTCTTTTAAGAGCCTGTGTTCAGCTTCAAATGTCCACATATGTCTGTGTTTTTAATGTATGGAAATCAACCAATGAAGTGAACTTAAAGGGAAAAATAAGTGTATCATGATGAAGAAATCTCAGATTATTCAGTGTTAGACTGTTAGGCAGAGGCTGCTAAAGGTACACCCCCACAATGTGCCATTTTTAAGTAGTATGAAGTAGCAACTTTCTTCCTCACATGGGGAAGCTGGGACTCGCCTTGGCTGTTGCAGTAGAAGACTGGGATTGTTCACCCATGTTTGTATTAAAGATAGTCTCAATACTCACATGGAATTTCTTTTTTCTTTTTGGAGTTGGCCGATTCAGATGGCTGACTACAAGTGTCTAAATTCATGGAAGCACAAAGTAAATCACTTACTTTGCACTGATGCCAGCCCCAGATCCCTCTGGTTAATGGGGAGGAGCAGTGATACCAAGACTGGCATTTGCAGTATGTCCCCTGACCTCTATTTCTCTTCTCTGGCTTTAGGCACAAACCAGCATCTTGCAGCCCTGGAGAAGAGGAGTCTGCAGTTTCCCTGCACGCTTCTGAAATTAGATTTAGTATAGAGGTATATGAGGGCTCTAAGTCTATTTTTGATAAGGGACAGAGGGTTTAAGAGGAGCTCTGTTCTGCTGAACAGGGACTGCAGCAATGCAGGTAATCCAAAGCAGCTCTTGGAGCACCTGTTTAGGAGGAGACTCCACTGAAGGAAAGGAGAATTGATCTCTGACCCTCCTAGGGCTCATCCACCTCTTACAAGCAAAGGACAAGGGAGCCTGTGGCTCTGCTCAGTGCTGGCATTTACTCCAAATCCATCCTGGCAGTGGCTCTTTGTCTCACACCCCTGTAGCAAGGAGTCCCAAGGGTTAATGCTAAACTGTGTGAAAAACTGTAGCAGTTTAGGACCTGTAACTTTTTAATTTTCCCCTGAGGCATGCTGGTGTTTGAGTGCAGCATTCATTATCCTGTGCCCTGCTGTCGCTACCTGTCTGTTTAATGTAGCACATGCTCATCACTGAAAGAGCTGTGTGCCATGTCCATTCAGTCCCCTGATGACACAGGCAGAGCTGCATCAGACCTGATGGATGAAAACTTGTACATATGAAGGCTTGATCTGACCATGCTTGGTTCTCATAGAACCATGAAACCCAAACCTTAGGGTTTACAGCAGTGCTAGAAAAAGGCAAAAGCCAAAGAAAAACAAAACACTTTTTCTTGATGATTTAAGGGATTTAATGGTCTGCCAGGGAGGGAGTATCTCTGCATGAATGGGGAGAGCAGCTTACCTGGATGGTCCTCGCTGCTCGATGTCACCCCAGGGAGGGCCAGTAGAGGCAGGGAGCTGGTGCGACGGTCTTGGTGGAGAGAAGAAAACAAAATTGAAGAGGGATAAGTGTCAAATGAATGTGGTTTGGCTCAGCTATCACCCTCAGCCACTCAGTGGCCGTCATTGACTTCAGGAGTTGTTGGTCTGAGGTCAAACAGAAGCAAATCTTCTTCCTTGCTGAGGGAGGTTACATGGCATGGTGCGCTGTTTGTGTTACCCTCTGTCTCGTTTCAGGAAAGGAAGCAAAAAATAAACTGCCAAGACAGAAAGTTTCAGCCAAGAAGAGGTGAAGAGGATCACAGCAAACACACCAATTCAGGTAGGTACAGAAAATTTGAGAGTTGGGAGGTCTGAGATGAAATGTGGGGCATCATCCATGCCCGAATACCTCAGAAACCTTAAATGAGGATCCCAAATCATGAGTAAAGGAGGAGAGGGGATATTGAAGCCCAAACTCCAAGCTTCATGGCTTGTCAGTCTTGGTGGACAAGATGCCCAAGGTCCATGTGGTGGCAAGCCCAGGTCCCCACATGGAGCAATGCTGAGCTCCTCCACCTCGGATGTGCCTGCCAGGCGGTTCACTCCATGCCTGAGGCTTGGAGGCTTAAATCTCCTTTCCTGCTCTCTCCAAGTGTCAGGGAGGCAAAGTAGGAGGAGATGTGGGACTATCCCAGCAGTGAGTGCAGCAGATGGAGCAAACTCCATGGGAGCTGCTGTTGCCCACATGGAGAGGCCGGAGGGAGCGCGGGCGCCGTGGCCCATCAGAAGGGATCTGCTCCAGACCCATATATCACAGGGCCTTTCAGAGATTCGTGCCCATTACATTTTGCTGAGTTCAGGCAGAAGGATGCAGGGGATTTGGAGACTGTTTATTTTTGTCATGGGGAAACAGGAAATAGTACACAAGGCTATAAATATATCCCGGGCTTCAGATGACATCATGAACTCGTGCAAGTGCTTCACTACTGATTTACGATGATGGACTGGTAATTCACAGGAGCTTTGGGTTTACTTTATTTTGCTGTTGCAGTAACAAAGCTAATGGTGCAATCCCGGGAGGGGGTATTTTATCAATAGTGTATTTTTGACCTCATTGCATACATTGCAACTTCATGAATTAGTGACCCAACTAACTGTAAAGTCTTCTATAGGCTTATTGTAAATCTATCACAGGACTGGCAAAAACTTTTGGCCCAGATCCTAAGCTCTGACAGGCATGTGTTGATGGACTGCATAGCAAGCACTTCCACTAATATTTCTCACTAATTATGCCATATATTAAGAAAAAATGAATGAAGCCAATGTTTATATGCCGCTTTAACTGCTTTTCATATAAGAAAGCAACACAATCCCTAATAAATTTTCACCTTCAACATTTCTATTCATTATAATTTTTACCATGATGAATGAAGTTAGAACTGGAGAGGGAGGGGGTTCATCTTGAAATCTGTTCAGTGAATGACTGAATTTACTTCCCTTCCCCAACTTGTGTCGAGGAAGGAGGGAACAGATGGACACAGGAAGAAGAGGGAGGCGAGTGCGGAACGAAGGAGATGGGTGAGGAACAGATGGAGTCAGGAGAAAGTGAAGAGGAGAGTCAGCAAGGATGGTAGAAAAGTTTTCCACTTGACCTTGAGTTGAAATGAAGATCTGCATGCAGCATGGGGCAGCTAGCTTTTTGGGTTGCATCCTTTTTTCTCTCCATGGCACTTAGCTATAAGTCTTGTGGGCCATCCCAGCAGCTCAGTGCATCCCAGGGGAGCTGCAGAGCCAGGAGCTGGATTTTCCCTAGGGGTCACCTGCTGCAGAAGGGCACCTGCACTGTGTTCAAGTCCTGTACTGGTAATGGCAGGGGAGAACTGTGTGCCAACACAGGAACAAAAATGGGCTGGGATGTTGTAATTCTCCCAGGCATCCTAGCCAAGCCAGAAATTGGAGTTTATAATTTTGAAGAAGTGTACTACACCCAGTTTGTTAGGATCCAATGGCCAAAATACTCAGACTAATTTATGATTTTACCTGCTTGAAGCAAGACATTTGAGATGGCCTGATTTTCAGAATATGCTGAGCATCTGTGTTTTGATGTGTATTGAATTATATATCCCAAATCACTAGTAAGTCCCAGAAAATCTTGATTGTATTCTTAATTCAGTTAAATTGCCTGCACATACTCCACTGGTTCTGGCTTTGCTAGCTAAAGAATGGAAGAGGTGAAAGCTAAATATTGGCCATGTGTGTCATTCCCTTTGAAGAAAATGGGAGCCATGTGCACTCACCTAACAGCAATGTTTGGCCCCAAGTATGATTTCACAGCTGGGCCCTAACTTCAGGAATGCCAAAGCACTAAATGACTCAATTGGAGTAATCTGATCAATGCTGTATTTTCGCTGTGGATTTAAATTGCACACACAGCAAGAGCAGAGTTGGTTTTCTTCTCTCTCAAAATCACTTTTCTCTGCAGACTTGATAGCATAAATATGAAGTATTGCTCTCATCACAGAAATAAGTGAAATGGCAGAAAACGTATGTCAAATGAAATGCACAACATTACGTCCTTTTTACTTTTTGGAGGCTGTTTAAGAAAACGGCTTCATTAATTTTGACTGAATAAAAGGTTCCTTTAAGGGATTTCAATAGGTGACATGAAAAATGTTAATACGAATGATCAAGACAATGGAGGTTAAAACTGTTTTGAAAATATGTTTCTTTTATAGATCTCGGCTGTTGGAAGAGTTACAGAATAAATATACGGTAGTGCTGACATTCAGTGCTGTTTCATCTTAGCAAAGAGTTTTTAATAAAGAAAATTCTTTTCAAGGAATGCTTTCTGCAGCCAGTCTTCAAAAAGAGGTTTTCCCCCCCTCCCAGTTTAATAAAATTAAAGTAATTTATGTCATATTGATATGTCGATATGTTTTTCAATAAACTTTTTCACAGAGATTTTTTAAAAAATTCTCTTCACTTTAAAAATTATAATTATATGTCTTCCTCCCACTTTGAAAATGGCACAAGGTGCTCATTTGCAGAGCTCTACTGTTCAAATCCTCACTGAGAATAGAAATGTCATGACTCAGTTAACAATGCTTTATTATTCACATTGATCTTTTTTTATAGTGTTCTTTATCTCAAAAACATTGTAAATCAGATATCTTCCTCCCACTCTTTTGTTCATTTGCAAATTTTTATTATTCTAGTTTAAAAAAGCAATGGAGTGTCAAGAGTCAGTGTATATTGTTTATGTTCTTTTTTGCTTTAAAATTACTTTTAACTATAAAAAGTAAGATGTATAGCAGGGGGAAAAAAGCTGCATTTAAAGATGCTTAAAAAAGAATTGAAGGGATCAGTGTGAATTTTATGCTGTTCTCTTACACCTTGCAGTTGTAACGACTTTGCAAGAAGGGGGACTGAGCAATTTATGAAAAGGTTTTTATGTGCTAAGTCCAAAGTTCTTTTTGCATCAGACACCATCATCTGTGTTAAAGGATGGACATAATTCATGGCCTAAGTGACCACAACAGCAAAATTCGCAGTGAGTTCACTGGCTGGGCCTGCCCAGAGCCCCTCCTGTCCATCGCCTCCTGTCACAGCCTGGTGCGAGGCCCGCAGGAGCCCTCAGGTGATGAGCACCAAGATAAATCACTGAATTGTCACAGGAGCCTCACAGCTTTGGTACCAGTGCTAACTGCAGCAGAAACACAACAGTAATTGATCAACAGGCAAGGCAACCCTGAAACCCATGGGGCTGGATGTGGGATACTGCTGAGCACCTTTCAGGAGAGCCTTATTGGAGCCTTCAGGTCTTGTTTGTAGATCAGCTCTCCCAAATTCCCCTTCAGCCACTGTTTTCTTTCCCTGTCATGTTTTTCTTTGGGTCCATATTTCTGTCCTGGCAGTTGTGACTTTTTGAATGGCTTCCATGAGATAAATCTATTACAGGAATTGGGGGTAGTCCAGGGAGCAGCAGGATCTCGTGATATTTCACATGCTTCTTGCTGTTAGGTAATTTTTTTATCATCTTTTCCCTGTTTTGAATTTTATGATCAGAGCATCCTGGCACCCTGTTGTTATTCCAGCAGGCCTTGAAAGAGATCATCCTCTCTGGGAGTCACTGAGATGGAGTGGCTATACCTGAAGCTGTATTTAAGCCCCAGACTGGATTTTTTGGGGGGGGTCTTATTGAAGTATAGAGTGGTTTGGGTTGGAAGGGACTGAAAGGCCATCTAGTTCAAACCACCCACCATGAGCAGGGGCACTTTCCACTAGACCAGGTTGCTCCAAGCCCTGTGGAATGTGGCCTTGAACACTCCAGGGATGGGGAGGACCTTGTAGGTATGTGGTGGCCCTATTATAAGAAACAGCCATAAAAAGTGTTGTAAATGAAGATAAAGTCTGCTTTCCAAATACCTTTGTTTCTTTCTTTTTGTTTAAAACTGCACTCTGCTGATATTTGCTAAAAGGGATAATTAAAAAATTCAGAACAAGTCACAAACTGAACCTGAACTGAAATCACACAGCCCTGTCCTTCTCCCTCCAAGTGGAGGGCTTAGCAATGTTTGTTTTTATTAATGTCAGTAGGTCACCCCAGTCACCATGTGTCTGTGCCAGTCCCTTTCCTCTTCCCCAGGCTGGGATTTGGGATGCACAGCATCACACAGAGCCCCTGAGGCCACCCTCTGATGGGGCTGCCTGCACATCCCTCGTGGACATCTTGTTTTGCAGGGCTGACTCAAGCCTCTCAAATTTTCTTTATTCCTCACTGCACAGAATGAAACTGGAAGGTTTGATGCATTGTCCCATTTGAATTGACCTTACTGTTTTGAAAGCAGAGAAAAAACAAACTTTACAATTGTTATTGTTGTTGTTGTTGCCTTGATGTCACTGCTGCATTAATTCACTCTTCCTTCCTCTCATGGTTAATGACTCACCCCACAATGAGGTTAAGGTTGGCTGCCAATATGACCAAATTTCAGAAACAAAATCCTAACCTGAGCTGAGTAGCCAGAAGTGGACAGGGCTTTACTTAATACA